AAGTAGAAAATCAACATTTCCCAGAAAGCTGGAAATTCGTCGAGGAATTTCTATAAACTAGAAAATCCCCGGCGATTTTTCGGTTGATTTTCTATAAACTAGAAATTAATTCAAGATTACAGTGTATCACCTAATTTTCAGAAAATTTTCAGAAAATGATTTTCATCGATTTTTGATTAAAGAATGCGCTTGAAAATTTAATAGATTTTGATACAATGCTCCTTTAGACGGAAAAGCATTTTTAAGTTCAAATAGAAGAAGCATTGGAAGTTGACAAAAATGGGTACGAAATTACGAAAGTGGCGCTATAATGTATGTACTTGCGTCCAAGCACTTGGATATTTGTAAAACTCGAAAAATATTTCGAACTTATTTTCGTAAATTCTCTGGTGAATGTACTTGAAAAAAGTGCTTGATACAAGCAATGAAGCCAGTTCCTGGTGGTTTCTCACAAGTAATTTTACGTACAAGTGCTTGTCCAAGCACTTGGCTCACAGTGTGCATCCAGGTGGACATTAGGTGAAAAAAGCAAAATCAACTTTTCATCGATCCAAATAGCACTAAATATGCTTCAAGACATGCTCTATTTGATGGCATAAAAAAATTTGTTACTCAACTTAACTAGTATGGCAAAATTGCGATAAAACACTGGTATCAATGAGAAAATTAATTTTTCATGAAACTGAACAAAGTTATTACAAAAATTACTAAAATCATAGACAACTAGTTAAGTTTAGTAACAAATTTTATTATGCCATCAAATAGAGCATGTCTTGAAGTATATTTAGTGCTATTTGGATCGATGAAAAGTTGACTTTGCTTTTTTCAATGTCCACCTGGATGCACACTGTGAGCCAAGTGCTTGGACAAACACTTGTAGGTCAAATTTTTTCTAAGTGATTTTCCGAATGACGATGTTTCGTAAAGTGAGTGTGCGAAAGTTAGCGAAGATCCAAATTCCACCAAACTTTGCCAAAATGTTCTTCTACCTACCGTGTACCATCCTTGTTAGTGTAAAGTAGCGTAAACATTCCTGGAGCGCACAGTGGGTGTTTCAAAAACCCCTAGTTTTTTCGAATTTGTTTGTTTTTGATTGATATGAGTTTTTTGGTGCTCGGAAGTCATTTTTATGCGAATTATGTTCAAGTAAAAAAACACTTGCCACGTTCTTGTTCAAGTACTACATAAGTGAGAAAACTTGCCAGGTACTCCTGAAATACTTCATAAGTAATCAAGTACATTCACTAAGATTAGTAATCGCTTCAATGAAGTAAGTATTTACTTCAATACTTATGAAAATTTATTAGTAATGTAAGATTTAATGAGCACTACTTGTATTACTCATTAGTACTTGTCAAGCTGCCCATCAATGCTTGTATCATTAAACTTGCTTGTATTAATAAATACTTCGTTTACTTATATCTAGAAAAAAGTTGAAATTACCTGACCAAGTACTGGTCTGCACAGCTACATCCACTATGACATGAATTACTGACGGCGCAATTTGAAAATTCGTCAGTGAGTTACTGCACTTTACGTAAGTTGAAATCCGAAAAAAAAAGACATTTAATACGTTTGTCATAAAGTGATCTAAGAATGACGGATGGTAGTGACATTGCATATCTTCAAACATACCAGAGGTAATTGTTATACTGTAATGAGAACACGGCAGCCAATCACTTTACACTAGCTTATGTCTTATGCATTCTTCCATGGATAAAAAATGGCGAATTGACTAATCAGAAGTGAAAACAATTGTTTTTTCTTTAGGAATTAGCAACCAAAACAATACCGTCCATTTGTGTCATCTGATTCTGTGATTCTGAAATGTTTTTTTCGGCATATCACCGGCAGAAAAATAAAGTTCACTTAGAGTCGTGAAAAAGTGGTTTTTCGTATTCAGCATACTCGATAATCCAGTAGATTTTCTACTTCCGACAAGAGGTACCATCAAAAGTTTAAGAAAAATTTTGAAACTACTATTATTTTCCGATGAAAATTTTTTTGTGCCATTTTGTTCGAAGAATTTTTATAAAATTTTGACAGTACCCCTCGCCAAAAATAGAAAATCTACTAGGTTATCTAGTATGCTGAATACAAAAAAGCATTTTTCTACAACTCTAAATGAAATGAACTTTCTTTTTTTCTTCACGGTGATATGAATCATAAAATTTAATTAGGCAACTTAAGAGAAATTACTAAATAAAATTAAAATATATAGTTTTTGAACTAATATGTTTCGTATAAGTTTTCAAAAATTGTATTCAAAATGAACTGCGAGCGAATCAGGTTTTGTGGCATTTAAATAGACACTGAGGTAGTAGCATAAGCAAGTAGTGCTAGATTATCTTGCAGCTAGTAAACTCACTGGAAATTAGGCCTGAATCAACGCACTTTTTATTCTGACAACTCACTGGAAATTAGGCCTGAATCAACGCACTTTTTATTCTGACAACTTTTTATTCTGAAATTTAGGCTTCATTATATACCAGTTCTTTTGAGCAACTAAATTTTATTTATCCTTGTGACCGTATTGTGTATTAAATCGAGTAGAGAATGTGAAGAAGTTAAAGTCTGGTTGAAAGATCTTAAATAATTGTGTGTCTGCGATGCTGTGTTTCAAAGAACAGAATTCTCGGCCAACAGCAGTTTTGATTAGTGAGATAAACTATGGTCTGTTCTTTCCTTTGGCAAACACTTAGCTCGAATGTATTGTTTCATTTCTCATGCTGTAAATAATTCTCCCGGTGTTCATTTGTTGCAGATGATTTCTTTTGTCATCAGAGTATATTTAATCTATTGCACTGACATAAGCCAGATGACCAAACCTGAATTTGTTATGATTTATTTAGAAAATAGGTAAAGAAGTAACGATAGGTAAAAAGCAAAAAATAAACGAGAATGTCGTCAACGTCCAAACTCTCATTCAGCATTCTTTCTTATTCATGGAGCATAAAAATGAGTATTTCACCCTAGCTACTTTCTAAGAAAAGTTATTAGAGTTCTCTTCGCATTTAACATTTTGTTTATTATACCATCAGTCGGTTCTTGGCACGTATGAACACTTATGAGTAAAAATGGATTCGTTACATCTTCAACGTTCAACCATCATTTTTGGTCGAAATAGTTTAACTGATTTAAACTTAGAAGGAGATAAGTTGTCTTTAAAAAGTATTATTTTTCTTATTATATAAGAATTTTTGCAGCGTTTTGTTTTGGAACTTTTCTATTTTAGATATTTTTAAGATATAACTATCACTATCAGCATCGCAAAAGCGCTCAGTTTAGCACAGCGATACTTGCGATTATTCTATTATTCGTAAGTATTGCAATAAAACAGTTGATAATCAACACTTTAATAATGCAGTGTTCAGAATTTTATCTGATTACGCCTAGTTTAGAACACTCACAATCAATAAACTATCCGTCAAATACTAGCACACAAATGTTTCGCTTCTTCAAAAAACCTATCTGCTGACTTTGAAAAAAAGATTCTGCTAGAAAAATCTGCTCATGCTGACTAAAAACAATCGAAAACTTTGGGTACCAATAGCGATGAGAGTAAACAACAAGATCAACAAAAAAATGATTAAAAGAAAAGTAATTTGTGCTGTTCGGTAGTTATGTGATTACAGAAAATTACTCGAGTTGTTGTTTATCCTGTTTCATTGTTGTTTTTAGCTGTTCTTTTGCTTTAATTTTCGAATAAGACGGAATAAAGAAGAAATATTCTTCTCTCTTGTTTCTTGACCTATCTAACATCTAAAGTTACACGATCTTATAAAAATCAAAGTTTTAAATGCTTCCACCAAACGATTTTCACCGTTTTTTGATTGTACCAAGACTCATCCGTAGGATGGACTCACGGATTATTAAAGAATTAATATACGAGGTGCACAAGTGTGCGATTTTCGACCATCTCTTTCGCAAAATAGATAACCTGTTAGTTTTTTCAAAACTGAAATATTGCACCTTCGGTTATTGAAAATATAAGCTCGCTAGACGTGGAAAATCGATGCATGCTACTCGTACGTTGAAGTTCTGCTGATGTTAAACATATTAAGCTCTCATATTCTTGTCGTTGCATAGTCTGAATAAAAAAAGACTACATCAATGTTTTAAACTGAAATTTTACAGTGCGAGAATATTTTATACAGCTACATACATCTACTGATACAAAAAACTAAACCACGACAAATAGAAAGTTTTTCATTGACATTTATGTCATTAAAGTTTTCCACGAAGGTTGTAATTCATTAATGCGTAGCTTCTTGTTTGTGCACCTCTTTTTTACAAGCGTGACCAATTTCTTTCGCTTTATCTCCTAAATATTAAAGAAACAATTCTATTAGGTTATAAAGAACGGACAGGTCTAACAAGTTTTAAGTGTTACCTGCTGCATCTACTGCGGCGCCAACTCTTTCGCCTGCCGTGTTGGACGAATCTTTTGCTTTTTCCTTGTTAGCCTCATAACTGGCACCACTTGTAACTTCCTGAAACTTCTCGCTAACAGCTTTTGCGGCATCTTTGATAACTTCCATGTTAAATATACTCACAGTATTATCGAGACGTGTGTTTATTATGTTAAGAAAAAATTGTAATATATGTAGATGTATGTATTATATATTTCTATATATATATATATATCGATTTACTAGACCAATTCTGTTCGCGATCAATCTCACTATCTTTTTTTTATCTTCTGGAAAAACAGCCTAATTCATATCAACTGTATATGATGGAAAAAGAAAAAATAAGAAAGGAAGAAGGGATGCTAATATTTAGTATATTTTCTCCAGAAAAAAGATGAATAGTTGTGAAAGTTTTCTTTTGACCTCTATATTCGTACTATACAACCTCTTTATAGCGTATTAGCAATGTTAGAGAATTCTTCTTTTCTCTTCGAAATTTTTGATGAATATAACTTCTTCTTTTCCTTAGTGCCAATTTACAGACTACTGTGTATTGTTTAATGCGAAGAAAGAATTTTGTGATAGAAATCTGGAGATAGAATGGAACGGGCGAGGAGTTCGTTTTCAAAAAGTAGTTTGAGTTTCGATCCTTTTTTTGCCTTCAACGAATAGATAATATTTTTAACGTTTGTGACAATATGCATTTCGTTGTTACAAAATCATCATTAAACATCGGAACTGTGTTAAGATTTTCATTTGTCAAGAGATGGGATAATGAAGTATCACAGTCTGCGTTATTTGATTCTATGTTAGTTTTGGCGGATGTTGCTAAAGAAAATACTAAACGAAAATATGAGATGATAAATAAAAATGATCGGGACAACGCACATGCGTTGCTCAAGTGTGGTTTTAGACAAAAATATATATCATTGTGCAAATGATTATATAGTACTGGAATAGTATGATGTTGTGTCTGGACAGAGATACTGATGGGAACATGTAATGATGGCGAATTCTTAATGCATGATTAAAGTTAACATTATTTAAACTTATTAGTAGTCTATTTTTTGAGTTCGAACTATTATTTTAACGACGTCACATTTGATTTCTACTTTTGTGTGTTATTGGGATTTTTGCTGTATTTTTTTGTTCAATAGCATTTTTGGATTAATGCCAAGTAAAAAGTATAGCTATATAGTTATTATTGCTTCCGACACAATCTCTGAATAATAATCTCCATCGAATAGTGTTCATATTTTCTGCTTATATCAACAGCTGTTAAGTTATTAATACATAATTTTCTTCTTTCACTCAAAACATTTATCATTTAGGCATCTTGAGTTTGGTTGATTATCGGTCAGATAAATACACTGCAATCAAATTATATGAATGATTAGCGCACGTTCATAATCATCATTAGATATAATTTCATCATTTATCGTTGGTCATTTAGAATTAAATTACAGGGCATATTTGAAAAAAGTGATATAAGAAAACACCAATGATTTGCTAGTCGTTTATCACTATAGAAATGTTTGAAGGAGTCAACAAGGCAAGTAGAATAATACTTTTTGCTTAGTAGTGGAATATATTTTATTCTACTAGAGATACTTTTGAGACGAAATCATTTTTCCAATGTGTATTATCTTGGACTGTCATGATTTTACGTAGAGGATAGTTTCTTGCATTGTCACATACTCCACAAAGATTTTATCAGGTCGTATTCTATAGAGACAAATGCTATCAAGTTTATTTTTTTGTTTTTCCATTCCTGCCACGATACTCGAATATTCAGATTTTTGGAGTTTATCTCACTTAACAGATATATTTTGTGATGATTGAAAGTTATTGTGAAAAAACTGATGTGCGCTCTTTTATTTTTATAATATTTTTATATCTGTCGTAATTTATATGTTTTTGACCAGTATTTTCTAGTGTAGTTCGTTGTGATAGTCATTTTCATTTACTCACTTCGCCGGAACATTTGTGTTCGCCCACTCTTTTTTAAATAAAGCTTCTTCCTATAAGATTTAATAAGGGTAATGGCAGTTCATAAACGAAAGGATACTTTTGATGCTAGTATGGACTACCAAACGAGTTGCCGGTGGCATTTTCTTATTAAGTTTTTGATAGATGTATGTACAGGAGGATGTAAAGTGACATATTCTTACATAAGAGCAACTCAAAAGGTAGTACGCATTTTTTGTCACTCTTTTCAAAACACGTAGAAACTTACTACATTTTCATCCACATTCTTGCTCTTTATGCTGCTCTTCTTCTTTTTTTAGATGTTTAACCTGATGTAAAATATGATAGATTGGCTATTAAGCATATATCTATGTAGTGCATTTACATTTCTTATATCAATTGGTTTATGCTTTTGTCTGAAACGTGATCGTGGCACATATAGTACATCAAGTAGTGGTCGTGTAGTTGCGTTTGACAACAATAATGTTATATCCAGTATTCATAATGGTTTTACTATCGTTCATGATTCAATAGATGGCGATTTACAAACAAAATTGTATTCAAATGAATCGGATGGATATGAAAAAATAATCGGATCGGCTGATGGCGAAATTCAAACAGTACCATCAACAGTTCATCGCGATTCTACAAGTTCGACAGAATATGGTTATACGAAATTAACTATTATCTCAGTACAAGCGAAACCTACAATCGAAGAAACACCACTTTATGCTACTGTGGATAAAGCAATTTCTCGAACAAAATCACCGGTACTTATTAGTATTAGTAGCAATACCACTAATAATACCGCTGCGGCTGCAGCCGCTGCATTATCTAAAGGTTGTTCTCCAGCGTCTCTCACTCAGATGTTGAGATCATCACCGCATGATAACAGTAGCTCTCAACTGTTGACTGGTTCCACTATTGATCAGTATCAACAAACCCAGCCACCACCACCACCACTCAATCATCCTCCGCCAATACCACTCTCTTTCGATCAATTATATGCTCATAATAGTAATGGTTCACTTGGTAAACCATATTATGATGAACTAATAACAAGAGAGTCTCTACAGTATCGACAACAACGTTTAGAACAGCTACCATCATTAGAAAATTATTATTCATCTGTGCATAGCGAAGGTACAGGACCGACGAGTGAATTATATGCAGAAATTAGCAACAGTAGTGGATTAGGAACTGTACCAACACAATATCATGATCAGAATCGGACAACAATGAATCGTCAACCGAATTATTATAGTGATGATCAATCGGAGCGATATGCAACGGTTATTGAAACCGATCAACGACCAATATCATTATTAGATCCTACAAGAATTTATCATGAGTTAGATCCCGCAACAGCAACAACTACACAAGATTTAACAACAGTATCTATGAAGCTTTAAAATTGTTTAAAGTATTTAAATTTATTGTTTGTATTCATCTTGGTACATCTCAAAATTACATATTAAAAGTCAGGTTATTTTAAAAGACACTTTTTACTCTAAAAGTGAGAAAGTACATATATTTCTATGCTATTCATTTTTATGTTCAACTGTGAAAAAATTTCTACATTTATGTGTGTTATATACAAGTATTATATTCATTGTTAGTTTCAAAAGATCTTTTATACAATATTTTGTACAGTTTATTGTTTTGTGTTGTTTTTTCATACTTATCTTTGTCTTTTGATTTGTATCAGAAAGACTAGTTTTGTTTTTCTGCTGATTATACAGTGAGAATAATTTCTATGTTAAAACTTCCATATTTTCTTTTTTCAAGATCCGTATTGTTTCACTGTAAATATTGTGCTGCTATTTATATATGGGAGGCCATAGCAAATAAAATATCATGGAAGTGCTTTTAATCAGCTATATAAATTTCAATAGTAGTAGCTGTACTAAACAAGTATGTTAGTAACACAGTTGGAACAAAATCATTGAAAATGTATTTTTGCCATCTCCGAAAGTTTCTGATCATGTACAAATCTCATTTTTAGTTTAGTTTTTACGATTTTTAAATACAAGTTTCACTAAATTGATTACCTCATTTCAGATTTATATGCTTTTCAGACCATTTGCAATTGGATCAAGGATCTAGGCTTTCCTGACAGTTCTTGGAGTTATTTATGGTATATCTTCGATATATCGAAGAAAACTTTATAATCTATGTTATTTTGCTTATTTTTAGGAATAAAATTGAACAAAAAGTGAAAAGATGACGTTTAGTAAAATACTGATTGCTAATCGCGGTGAAATAGCATGTCGAGTTATTCGTACAGCAAGAAGACTTGGTCTAAAATCTGTGGCTGTTTACTCAGATGCAGACAAAAATTCATTACATGTCAGAATGGTAAATGTGATTAGTAACATAATACAAACAATGCTATTACTCAAATGAGTTTACACTAATTCTATAATGAAATATTAGACATTTTATCTCAACTCTTGAACAGACGTTCATAAATTTTAACTGTTCTATGTTATGAATACGCATCCTTCGTTTAATTGATCATGTCGGTTAATAGAACAATATATTCATTTCTCGTATCAAAATTGCTATATATGTTGTAGGCTGACGAAGCTGTTCGTATTGGTCCGGCACAGGCTTTGCAAAGTTATTTAAAAAAAGAAAATGTCATTGAAGCTGCCTTAAAAACAAATTCTCAAGCGATACATCCCGGTTATGGTTTCTTATCAGAAAATTATGAATTTTGTAATATGTGTAACGAAAATAATCTCGTATTTATTGGTCCACCGCCGAATGCCATTCGTGACATGGGTATTAAAAATTTGAGTAAAAATATCATGACTAGTGCCAATGTTCCAGTAATTTATGGTTATCATGGTGAAGATCAAAACAATGAAAAATTACAACAAGAAGCAAAAAAGATTGGCTATCCGGTAATGATTAAAGGTAAAAAAAATTGCTTTGTCTTTGGTCGACAGTGTTTTTATTGATGACATTATTCCATGGGGATACAGCTGTGCGTGGTGGAGGTGGAAAAGGAATGAGAATTGCATTTAAAGAAGAAGAATTTTTGGATCAATTAAATGCAGCTCGATCAGAAGCAATGAAATCGTTTAACGATGATTCTGTATTAATAGAAAAATTTATACAACGTCCAAGGTAAAAAATAATTAACTAGGATTACAAATCTAAATTTAATACAATAGAATCAGTAATTTCTCAAAAACATTTTGTTTTTTGTTATTCTTAGACATGTTGAAGTTCAAGTATTTGGTGATATGCATAAAAATTACGTTTATTTATTTGAACGTGATTGCAGTGTACAAAGACGACATCAGAAGATAATTGAAGAAGCTCCCGCTGTACGTATGTCAGTGGGGAAAAAGTAGTTGTTTTCCCCACAAGTAATTGTTGCGCTGTTTTGATATTTCTCCATGCTTATTTCCTCAATTTGCATTGTTTAGCCAGGTATCAATTGGTCAACAAGAAAGAAACTGGGCGAAGCTGCTTGTAAAGCGGCACGGGCTGTTAACTATGTTGGTGCAGGCACTGTTGAATTTATAATGGACGAAAATCATGAATTTTATTTTATGGAAATGAATACGCGTTTACAGGTTGAACATCCAATAACAGAAATGATAACAGGAACGGATTTAGTTGAATGGCAAATAAAAATTGCTCAGGGTGAACCAATACCATTGAAACAAGATGAAATTAAATTGAATGGTCACTCATTTGAAGCACGAATCTATGCTGAAGAGCCAAACAATGAATTTATGCCTGGTGCTGGATTGTTAACATATCTACGAACACCACCCATAACTGATGGTAAAATTCGTGTTGAAACTGGAGTATTAGAAGGTGATGAAGTCTCTGTACATTATGATCCAATGATTGCTAAACTTGTCGTGTGGTCAACAACTCGACTAAATGCATTACAAAAATTACGTGCGGCATTACAACAATACTATGTAAGAGAGAACAAAGATATATAAAATAGGGGCATGCACTATTATGCAAGACTATTTTTTTTAGATTGGTGGATTGAAAACGAACATTCCGTTTCTAATATCATTGTGTGATAGTAAAAAATTTCAATTAGGGAATGTTCATACAGATTTTATTAAAGAAAATAAGCAAGAATTATTTCATGTTAATGAGTTGAGTTCAGTTACAGCAGTGGCTGCTGCATACTCTTATTTTGATTATCAAACAAAATCGTCCGCTAGTCAATTCGGTATTGCTTCAGTTTCTTCAATTATGTTGATATTACTTTTAGAGATCTTTTAATATTCTAGTGTCCGATCCTTTCTCACCATTTGCATTAAAAAGTTCCTTTCGTCCAAATTTTCTACAAAAACACAATATTACATTGCTCTACGACAATAAAGGTATAATTTATCGTATAATTTTTCCATTTTGTGACATTTATTTTGTACTCTAGATCATAATTTTCAAATTGAATCGCTTGATGCAACAAAATCGATTGTATATTATCAAGGTAAACGTTATAATATTGAAATCCGTCCCGGTACTGCTGATGCTGATGAGATTACAATGTTGATCAACGATCATCAGTTTCATTGTCGTTTACTTGTTGATGGTGACCAATTGACATTTTATTCAAATTTTAATCGTACATCATTTGATTTTAAACATCGTTCACCATCGTTTGTCGCGGCGCTTGAAAAAAGTGGTGGAACAGAGGGAGGAACAACAGTTGATCCTGTAGCACCAATGCCTGGGATTATTGATAAAGTTTATGTTAAAGAAGGAACACATGTGAATATCGGACAACCGTTACTTGTCATGACAGCAATGAAAATGGAACATATTATTAAAGCTACGAAAACTGGAGTAGTTGATAAAATACTATTTCATCCAGGGCAAGTTGTGAAAAAAGGAGAAAAATTATTAATATTCAAACAAGATGATACTCTTAAACAAGATGATACTGTTAAACAGTGATGTTTTCTTTTCTATTTTTTATAGCACATATAGAAAAACATTTTGTAAGAAAAAGTTTTATACACCAAAAAAAAGTCTTTTATTTGTAAGAACTAATTTATTGGAAATCCTAAAAGGATTTTTGCCCATGGCTCTTGAAGTCTCGGTTTTCTGCAAAACCAATTTTTGAGAAATTCTAAAAAATAATCAAAACCTTTCATAATGAGGCATAATTGTAACCCGCACATTTCTGATTAAAATGAGACGTCTTCCAGCTCTACATGACCTTTCTTTACAAAGTTACAGAATTTACAATAAAAGCCCTAAATGTTCATTGTTAGCTCAAAGCTGTAGAAATAAGAAGAAATTAATTTAGGACTTTTCTTGTAAATTCTATAACTTTGTAAAGAAAGGTCGTGTAGAGCTGGAAGACGTCTCATTTTAATCAGAAATGTGCGGGCTACAATTACGCCTCATTGTGAAAGGTTTTGATTATTTTTTAGAATTTCTCAAAAATTGGTTTTGCAGAAAACCGAGACTTCAAGAGTCATGGAAAAAAATCCTTTTAGGCTTTTTACCAGCTCGATGTGCTCTATAAAACGAGGTATGAATGAAGAAAATCGGAGTTGGACACCTGGGGCGGTTCCCTCGTAAGAACTAATTCTACCTGTTAACTAAAATTCTGATGTTTAAAACTGGCCCTAGTAAAAATCTTAGATATTTTCTAAAATTATCTTACTAAGATCATATCCTTTAAGATTTGATAAGATAATCTAAGATTGTACCGTTTAAGATCTTAATAAGATTTAATCACTCTACTTTCATTCACTCGTTTGTTCTGCTCTCATTCATCTATATAAGTAACACCGAAAATATGAATGATTTTACGGTTATTTTTCTTCCAGGCTCTGCTAGTACTTTCTCTCTTGAAAGTGTTCAACAACTTTTTAGAGAGTATACATGCAGGTCAAAGTTTATGGTCGGACATCCGAAAATACGAAATTTATCTTCATTCTTCAACACTGTTCGACTGCTTCTTAAGATAATGTAGATTAAAAATTCAAAAATTCTCAGCGAATCTCGACTGAATATTATTAAAAAAACGTCATCGTTCTTACTATTAAGAATCTAACAGATTATCAGCCAATTCGGATTCACCATTCGGATCTCACAATCTTAGTAAGATTTGTCTAAGATCTTAGAGAAGTATAACCGAGATCTTAATAAGATTATTCTAAGATAGTAAGATTTGAGTAAGTTTCTCTCTAGGGAAGTTTCCCAAGTTTGCAGTCTGAGAGGTTAATTTGAAAAAACTGCTATTGAGAAATATCAATATTCGATGTTATTAAGCTATTTGAGTTGGATTTTGTGAGGCATACAGCATTGTCCATTTCGTATTCTTATTTTAGATATAAAAATGGGACGTCCAAAAGTACAAAAGAAATTTGCTGAAATGAAACGTATGATTAAATTGTCTGATGAACGTTTGAAAGCTAAAGATCGTCAAAAACCTAAAAATCATTTGGCAAAATTGGAAAAGAAAAACTTGGGTGAAATTAATGAAAAACAAGTAACACCCGTTACATCAGCATTATTCTTTCGTTATAATACACAATTAGGACCACCGTACAAAATATTGATCGATACAAATTTTATCAATTTTTCTATCAAAGTTAAACTTGATATAATTCAATCGATGATGGATTGTTTGTATGCAAAATGTACACCATACATTACAGATTGCGTCATGGGTGAATTAGAAAAATTAGGTTCAAAATATCGTGTTGCATTAAGAATTGCCAAAGATGAACGTTTTGAACGTCTACCATGTTTACATAAAGGCACATATGCCGATGATTGCCTTGTACAACGAGTAACACAACATAAATGTTATATTATTGCCACATGTGATAAAGACTTAAAACGTCGAATACGTAAAATACCGGGTGTTCCAATTATGTATTTGTCTGGACATCGATATACCATAGAACGTATGCCTGATGCATATGGCGCGCCAAGAACATAAATTTTGAGTTTTATCTTTTTTTGTTCATAAACGTTGTTGTGTGTAGAAAAAAATGAACGAATAAATTAAACTTAAAAGCTGTTTCTAATGAACGACGATCACAGTTTGTTTTAAAATTAGTAAAGAGAATGATGAAATTAAATTTATCCTAATTTTCAATAGATCAAATAGAACAAAATTTCTTCTGGGAAAAAAATTGTGTATAGTCCTTAGTAGTCTATTAGTGGATTCTTTCGTTTGGCTCAGCTATAGTTTAGCTTTTAAAAAAAAACGAGAACTATTTTATCCCCATTCATAGCTCTTTAAGTTACTATGAAACTCTTTTCAATAAAATTGTCCAGATGTTTTTTTATATTAATTGCTTCAGAATCGTAACTCATATCATACACAATTATCTAGAATTGATAAAGGTTATATTGTCATTATGCATCTTCAATATTTCTAAAAGATTACGAAAAAAACTAGATCTCGAAGGTACATTTATTCGACTTTGAGAAGGTGAGGAGCTAACCAGTTAATAACGTTCAACCTGTAAATTTTAACAAATGAGTTGTATAATTAGAGTCATGTACTATGAACACTTTATTAATTATGATCCATTTATGCTTGTCGTGTAAGAAAAGAATATTTTCATTTACAGCTATATGCTTTCTCATTCACTTCAGCTTGATTGTATATACGTATCTTGTTTTGAATGATTTGTTTACGTTCACACTAATACTAAACTAATTGCTCTTATTTCTACTAAGCATATTAATCCTTCGGAAAATATTCTAACTGTTACATGACACAACTACCAAGTCTACTATTTTGATATATGCATATTTTGATAAATCTGGTGGTTTCGAAGGATGAACTTGTCTTAATATCAATATCAGATTACTACTTGAGAACTTCAGAAAAGAAAACACTTTTCTTCAGCAAAGATAATACCTTGCTCACTTGAAGAGATGCCCCCAAAAAGATACAATTAATTTACTTTGTAATAGAAATAACAATCGTATCCCTCAATAACTAGAAAGTTTAAATATTTCCATTCTAACAGTTCAGATTTACTCTTTGTTAAACAGAAGGATTCTCTCATTCACTTCTTGTGGATTAAAGTGTCGCAGTAACAAACAATAAGATCAAAGTCATCAATAGATTTTGAAAAGGCAATCCTAATCTACTATTTTTGTTTAATTTTTAGTTTTTATTTTGATCTTTCTATAGCGTTTTTACACAGTAGGAGAAAATCGGATTTTCGAAAAATCTTAATGGAGAGCAATTCATTCAGAGCAATTTATAATTTGTTGACGTGCGGCCTTCCATAATATCAGTGTTTCGAAATTTTGTTAATGTGATATTTTTTAATCCCAACATGATAATCCCATTATCTAAACTTTTGCGGAAAAGTCGAAAACTATGATTTTTTTCGAACTGGACAGCTTTTTGTTGAAAATTGAATAAATCACGCGTCACAACCAAATATGTGTGTATCATATTCACTTCAAAGTCATCCTTTAGTCTTATTTTCTATTCGGACCATGAAATCCTCGTGAAATATCAAAATTATCGTGTCATCGGTCTTTGACAGTCGATGTTAAATGAACTTGTTGTTGAACTCATAGTTCGAGTTAACAGCAAAATGTTATGTACAAATGTTTATTCACACACTTTATTATATAATGATATTTTAAAAAACTTCTTTCTAATAAACAATATTCTTAAGTAAAAACTTGTACTGTTGATAAATTATTAACAATGTCCAATAGCTTTTTTGAAACATTTATTTTTTTCAATAAAAAGCAATCGACACTAGTCATAAGCAAACAAGTATGAATGAAAACTCTCCCCTGTTTGACACTTTTTCTGTAATTATGTATGCTAAAGATTTTTACGAGTTTATCGTCTTATCTCATGAAAATAACCATCCCTCACGTTCGTTTTACATTACAAACTTCTTTACCCATATTTGAGGAAATATGGCATATCTAATCCACAGCCATATTAACAAAAACACGCAACTTCACTTAGTACAAAAATTAGACAGAACTATAGATATTGCTCTGAAAATCTCTATGGGTACTGGAATCATTTTGTATAAGGTACTAAGATTAAGAATCAAATGTAAATCTAAGAAGGCACACCATTAACGTACAGAATGTCAGATTTTTTATTTTGATATGTTGAAATGTTTTTCTTTTGTGAGTAACTACTATACACTATCTTTTAATCTATAACTGATACTTTTGAGTGAAAAAACTAACGATATTCGGATGATTCTAGACATATATTATCGTATGACATTTATTTACATACAAAAAGTGTATTTACAAGAGAAAAACACTCATGCTAGAAAAATAATTCACTGCAATAAATTAATTCGAAATTAGTACATTCAAAAAAATGAGTCAAATTGTCTCATGGTTGTTTTTTTCAATGGATGCTCGCACTGCAGTGCCTTTTTTTTAGTAAAATAATGGTGGATTATAAGCAAATGGCCACGATGATGGTGCAATTGTTCGTGTTGGTGTTGAATTCATAGGCGTTGTTGTTTGAGTATGAGAATGGTGTGAAAAACGAGGTAAACGTGTTTTATCTCTTGAACGTTTATTTTGAAACCAGACACGTATCACTTTTTCTTCTAATGATAATTGTCTCGACAATAATTCCATTTGTGATGGATCTGGATATGATTGAGTAGCATAAAAACGATCCAATGCCCATTTCTGATTATCGGTAAATTGTGTACGATTTTTTTTCTTTCCATTCTAAAACGAATAAAACGTTTAACAATATGATAAACTCATTAGTTTTAAAAACAGTTCATACCATGTCAGTTTTAGCTAGTGATGAATCCACCTTTTTCTCAACTGAAACTTGAGCATTTTCATCTTGAGATTCATCACATGAATCATCGTTGTCTATTGATGATGACATTTTTTGGTTTTCCGATGTTGTTAATATCGAATTATATCCACTATCCTCTAAAATGTTAGAATCAAAACATTGAGATTTACAATATAAAATTTTATCTTTCACTTACCTGCTCAGTTCATCTAAAAATCTTAATTCTTCAATAAAAGTTGACTTTTCACTTTCATTAAGTCTTAATTACTTACTTGTCTTGGAACCATTGTAGGATAGACAAAGTTAGAAAAATAAATATTTTGCTTACCGTGTGAATTAGAATTAGGGGTGCTAGAACTAGTAGCAAGTTCAGCGATACTTCTAAAATTTACTCTATTTGAGGATTTAGTTTGTTCTAATGTGGAAATAGAGATAGAAGATGGTATTGATCGATTGAAAAGATTAAATGTTGACTTGGACGGTGCTGGCGATGGTGTTAGAAATAATGGACTATTGCATAAAGACAAAACTGATAGTGGTGAATACGGACTAGAACAAATAAGTAGAAGTTAAACGTTTGATTTTACAAGAGAATATTCTTTTACAAAAAATGAGTTTTTACCTGAAATGTGAAAATGGATTTAGTATTGATTTATTATTATTATTGTTTTGTCGATTATCATCAAATGTTTTATTGTCTAGTTCGGGAGTATTTGATCTTGATGTATCATAATCTTCACAGTCTTCCATTGACCCTAAACTTGATGGTGAATTACTACGATCCTCCATAATTATCACTTGAAGAAGAAAATAATCTAAATGACTAAAAATAACTCCATAAGTTTGATTCTTTATCAGAATCGATTGAACATTTTATTCTATACCTGATTTCTTGTAGTTCTAGAGTCGATGTAAGCAGTTAGTTGAATGATATGGAAGCAACAGATGCAAAGTCTATTAGTAGTAAATTGAGAAAAATTTTTCTTCTCTTTTTTTTGTCAAGACAGCCAATAAATGATTGATGCGATAAAAATATTTTTTTATTGGTAGAAAAAAGAGATATGATGTTGATTGGTAAAGAAGAAAAAATAAACCGATTTGTTTCACTGTGGAAGAAGCGAGCGACTCTAATTGTTTGTTAATTGGTGAAATAACTTAATTGATTGACTCATTTCTATGTATATTGAATAAACATGTGTGTTAAAGATATATTTCGATCAAAATTGGTTTAACTAAAAGAGAGGAGAGAAAATGCAAAAACTTTTTGCTGACAACGTAGAATTGCCTGCTGAGAATAAATGGAAAAATGAAATTTAGATGTTATAGTCTATAACATTGGTTTTATAACAACGGTTTTAACATCTATAACTTGTAGATGTTAAAACCGTGGAACTTTAGATGTTTTAAAGACGGTAGAAGAACAACAAATTAGTTACCGTTCTTAGGATGCCTAACTGATGGTGAAAATAATATATATTTTTCTGAGAAGAACGTGACTAACTATAGTTAAAATTTTAGATACATTTGTTACTATCAGTGAAGAGCAGAGATGGGCGAGTCACCGCTTTTTCGAGTCTGAGTCGAGTCCGAGTCAGAAGGCTTGGAGCCTACATCCAAGTTCGAGTTGCATTAAAAATTGACTCGAGTTACCTCTACTCATTTTCTAGAAGTAAACTTTCTCCTGATTCACTTTTCCAAGGAAAAGTTTGCAGCGCTATTTTCTATCTCTGGTTTGTCTTGTCCTTTTCTAAATCTTCAATCTTTTCATGTGACCCGATGTTCTGCTTAATATTCTCAAATTTGTCGCCCTTTTCTGGTATATAACAAATATAATAAGCACCGTGATAATAATCCAAAGCTGCATATGACTGACGCGAAAGTGACTCGAGTTAGTTTATCTAGTTTACCGAGTGTTTCGCCTCAAGTTCGAGTCGTGACTCTGACTCGTCCATCTCTGATGAAGAGCAATATTGGTAGCTGGTGACTAGTATTTGAATAGTTCATCTTGACCCAGAGATGAACCCCCTACTCTCGTTTTAAGCGCTGTTTTGCTGCAGTTCAGTGTCATCTTTCAGCTTCTCTTTCGAAGATTACCATCGATTTGTTCAGTTATTTGAGATTAACTTCAAAATCAAAGTGGTATAAAGATTGATAAACATATTCCAGTCTGACTATGTGGTGTTTGACTACTCTACGAATTACTCATGCGATTAAGAACTCAAATATTATATCATTTTAAGATGTTAATGAACTTGGAATGGAGCGAGAGATCTTAATGAAAATCAAAAAGATCATTTGTTTGAACTTTTTTCCTCATATTAGTTAGTCACCGGAACATATTAACTTGGTTCCATTATAATATTATTTTTAGGCGAAAACGGGAGAATTCCCGTTTCGTCGAAAAGTAGTAAGTATAAAAGTATATATTTCAAAAAATTTCAAAAGCGGCCGCGGCGGTATGAGAGTGAGTTTTCGACAAAACGGGAACTAACCAGTAAGAATCGTTTATGTAGATGACTCTCAATAAGAGTATTTAACGAAACACTAGACAATTATAATGGATCTCGTTTTGTTTCCTCTATATATTTTAACCAAATCACATTCCTACAGTTTGTGATAGTGTGGCTTTGTGATCAATTCAGTTTAGAATGTAGTGTAGTTTTAGAAAAGCAGCTTAACATTTTGTCAAAACTGCTAATTGTGATTTGTCTATCTATCATCTGGTAGATTGATTTGTTGAGTGATATATTTATTTCTTGAATTCATTTCACAAGTATAATCAAAATTTAGCAAATTGTATCTTGTTGATAAATATATATTTTATTTCTTAAAAATTAAACATGTATAAATGTATGCATACGTCTAATAATCAACACTTTGTGAATCAAAATGAATCAAGATGATGATTTTTTTCTATTAAGAATCTATTAGAAGTTATAAATACGATATGGGAAACAAATCTATCTGTCTAATAATAATCTGTTTTACTATTTTCTCAACAATAAAACGTACATTATTGTTAAAATATGTATGACCCGTTTCTCTGGAAAAGCGAGAGAGAGAACGAGAGAAAAAAGAATATTTCATTGATGAACAGATATTTGTCAAATTGTTAAAGATAATTATCTATCAATCTGTGTATTGGCAACAGCTTTCGGAAAGTCTTGTTATAAAACTCAATACGTCCAAACGAAATTCAAACGGGAGAAGAGGGTGAAATATATGTTTTCGAGGTTTTTTTACTTTTAATTTTGCTTGGAATGACAATTATGTCTCTATCCATGTGAGATGTATTTGATCCAATCTAGTCAAAATGTATTTGTATATGACAAAAAACCGTAGGAAACTGTTTGCCGCCGATTAACGATATCCCTAGGTTATATATGTCTGTTATGATTGATGTACATAATCATTTTGTTGAGAGAAGAATAAAAGGTAAGTTGTTATCTGCAATAAACCAATTAACCAACAAATGTGATGAATATGTAACGTTTTTCTAAATAGAATAATGATGATCGGTGTTTTAACAAGGATGAAAAAAATTTATTTAACAGAATGCTGTGTTTCATTATTGGTTTATTAGCGTCTTGTTGCATTTTCAAGACTTTTGGGCGTTAAATTGAGAGTGAGGAGGAATTTTTACATTTTCTTTCAAATTTTTCGATTAAAATATTGTGGTCACGTGTATTGTACTCAAACTCCTGCAGAATATGTACAAGTTTATCTGTTAACAATTAGGAGAAAACCCTGAAACTTTCGTAGAGTTGTAATAAAAATGTGTTAGTAACTATTAGTTCGTTGAAGATATACCATCAACACGTATCGTATACTGAAGTTCATATACATACGCATATCATGCTCCATCACACAATATGATAAACTAAGTTATTCAAATACTTTTTTTAGAAATTTTATAGTATATTTTGTGTGGAGTTTACAGATATTTTTCTGGCATGCTTCAAAATATCAGTGGTACAGGGAAGAAAGGCTATTTTTCTTGGCTGTGCAATATTTAATATTTTTGGTAATAAATGTTTATTTGAGTGCCACAGTGTAGAACAAATAATTCTCTGTAAAATGGTGCCTTATGCGATTTGACGAAAGGACGCTATAAGTATTCTATGAGAAGTTCTGTCCCATGTAAAACGCAAAATTAACAAAAAACAGAATCTTAAAAAAAGGAATTGAAGATTGTTGTAGGTATATGATTTCTTTCCAAAAAGCTGTATAAGATCGTACAATATGCCATCTTGTAGAGAAAATTCTATATACCAATAAAAACATTGTTAAACTAATCTGCTTCAGCTACATTAAGTATTTTGAAAAAACTGCTTATTGTTTTTTTTCTTTGTACAAGTGATACTTTGAAGCATGTCAGAAAAATACCTATAACTTCGAAACAAAATATACTATACAATTTCTAAAAAAATATTTGAAACGCTTAGAAAATATCACATTTTAATGTGCAAAAAGGCTTTTTCTTAATAAAGACTTATGCATTTTAATTTGTACCAAGACTTTTGCGACATAGGCTACTGATGCTTAACGATCAACAACAAGAATCAGGTTCCGTTTATGATTCGCAGTACTGTCTGAGTATTAGACAATATAATAACGGCCTCATTCACTCAGCTCTATACGTCTTGTTTTCTTGTAAGTGTTTTCTTTCAGTTGCATTGATTCGATATTATTATACGGAAAATATTTTAAAGAGAACGCACAATGGAAGGAGAATACTTTTTAAAAATATGGCGAAAAGGAAAACGGCATATTTTTTACACTGAATAGACAACGCATGAAGGGCTAACACGGAATAAGAGGTTAACACTTGTAGAATGAACAGATATCTATGTTAATATCTGGACATTGAACCAAATCAATTTTTGGTTTTACACAATAACAGAATAACAAATATTTGTATTTATATGAAAATTGCACACACGATGTTTTTTACATGATGAACAACGATATCGGCCTGTCTACGTAACGGTCGCTTTTTCGTGATTCCGTCACGATTTTTGTTGTTTTGCGAGCTTCTTGGCGCTCGAACAAAAGGAAACTCAAGGATCGTTTACATCTAGTCTTATAGAGAAAAGTGAGCTGAACAAAATGTGATATTTTCTGTTTCCGCAAAGTGTCGTGGTTCTCAAATATAACAAAAGTTTTACGAGCCCCGTTTTGGCAGACTTTAGATTGGGGCTCGTAAAAATTTTGTTGTACTTGACGACCACGATATTCTGCGAAAACGAAAAATATCACATTTTGTTCAGCTCACTTTTCTCTATAAGACTAGATGTAAACAATTCCTTAGTTTCCT